CCTGGCTGGATGAGCGTTTGGAGGCGCTGGGAGTGGACCGAGCCGTGTATGGCGCCTACATCCTCGGCGTCCTGCAAGAGGAGGAAGAGGAAGAGAAGCTGGACGCTCTGCGGTGCATCCTCTGTGCTTTCCTGGTGAGCAGCGAACCCCGGTCGGCACCTGGCACCCCCTTCCCTACTCGGGGTCACGGAGGCCCCATCGCCTTACCCGGGGGACACGCTCCTGGCCTGAGCTCGGGCCACGAGAGGAGGGCCTGCTTCCCTGCTAGGGCTTAAAGTCGGAAGGCTACAGATGAGGGGCGCCCCGGCTCCTTCTGAAGACCTACGTGGGGCTGGGGTGAGGCTTATCGTCAGCCCCCCAGGCCAGGCTTGTTCCCCTCCACTCCGGGCTCCGCGGAGGGCCGGGTGGGGGCGACGGAACGCGCCGGGCGGGCCGGCCGGCCGCTGGGGGCGGTGCTGGGGCTGTCCCACGGCCTGGGCGGGTGGGAAGTTCCGTCGCTGGTGAGAGTCCAGAAGAGGCGAGCGGAGCCCAAAGCAGCAGGTGGGCATTCCGTGGCCCTTGGTGCTGCGGGCGGCGGATGGGCGATCGGAGAGGTTCGCTAGCGGCCTCTCGGATTCCCGAGGTCACACGCGTCCTTTAAACTTTGTTTGCTTAGGAAGTGATCACAATGTCCCGTGGTCCAGCCTGATAACTGCTGCGGGAGGCATCTCCAGCCTCCACCCCAGCACACTCTGCCTGGCTGTGGATTCGGTTTGCTGGCTTGTGGCCCCCGACAGACTTTCCTTTTAAACAGGCTCTCAGAAAGCAAATTCAGGCGTGGGATGTGGGGGAAAAATAAACTTACGTGTATCGTTGCTAAGTACGTAGAAACTAGGGTTGTCTTTGCGTTGATTTAGAGATCTTGGAAACAGACCTGCCGCCGTGACAGCCACCAGCCCAGCAAAAGCTTTATCTTTTGATGCCTTTCACAATGAACAGATTAAAAGGGTATTAGGAGTACTGTGTAGATACGAGCACACACATTCATACTTTGTACAGTAGAAAATTTTCAAACGCAGAAGTATTCTGTGAATGTGGGAGGCATCCTAGGAAAGGAAAATCACCCTGGAAGTGCAATTCACGGGCGCAGCACTGAAGTGTTTTCCTCCTGACGCTGTCCCAGATCCCCCTCCAACTTGCTCTTTTGCCCTAAAAAAAGGAAAACAAGCAAACTTGTACAGCAACTTGGAAGTTTGATGGAAATACAGCCCAGTGGAATAAAATCTTTTCTTGAACCCTGACATTACAGATTACAGGATAAGGAACAAGAGGCAAAGAACTTTAGTATTTCTTTTTTCTGATGGTAGTGGGGATTGAACCCAGGCCTCATGCACTTGTGTACCGTTGAGCTACATTCCCAGCCCTTGTTAGATTTTATTGAGACAGATCTCATCAGGCTGGCCTCTCGCTTTGATTTTCGTCTCAGCATCCCAAGTGGCTGGGATAACAGGCGTGTGCCTCTGTGCCTGGGCCTTGATTCAGGTTCCAGCTGGGATTTTCTGAAGCCTCCACGATGAGCTTGTTAACGTGACTTCGGCACTTTTAGTTCTTTTCACAATGTCCTTATTTGGCCCTGTGTGTCTTCATACAGGGAGGGAAACAGGTGCTGCTTTACACTATTAAGTGATGCTTGAGAGAAGAGGTGGTTATCCAGAAAAAACGTAGCACTTTGTGCCTGTGTATCACATGAGCTGCAGCACACAGAGTCACCTCTGAGAGTCCCTCAGCCTGGTCCTGCTCACGTGCCGTGTTGGGTTTGCTCATAGCTTCCCTCACCCTCCTGTGTGGAAACTGACTGGGAAGAACTATGCAGGAGTCATACAGTGAGGCAGGGCTCTTGTTGATGGAACAGCTGAAGAGTAAAATGGCCAGAAATGTCTATAGGTTGGACATAATTCAAAGTGCTTTTTCTTTTCTTTCTTTCTTTTTTTTTTTTTTGAGACAGGGACTTGCTGTGCAGCGCAGGTTGGCCTTGAACTCCCTGTGAAGCCTAGGCTGACCTCCAGGACATGGCAGTCCTCCTGCCTCAGCCTACTGGAGGCCTCTCCTGGCCAAAGTGCTGCTTTCTGTCAGGTGGACTGGAAGCATACATGCTAGAGGTCCCTAACTGTTTGTATCTTTTTGAGACAGGCTCAGGTGTGTCGCTCCTCCTTCCACAGCCTCCCTAGTGCTGGGGTTACAGGTAGGCCCCCACTCCTGGCTGCCCCAGACATTTATATCACGTTCTTTCTAGGAAAAACAGAAGGCAAAGCCAAATGAGCTGCCAGATTGGGCTATGATTAAGTTTTAGGACTTGTGAAGTTTGTGAGCAAGAATTAAGGGTAGGTATCAAGAGTGTGGGTGTGTTGTACAGTCGGGAGCTAGTGACGAAACAGCTAAGAAACTTGCGCACAGGACTCGCAGGCACCTAGTGCATCTGACACAATGCAACACCATCTCTACTCTGCGTGCTGGGGTCAGGTGGGCCCCTCCTCCTGGCCATCTCCAGTGTCCCCCAGCCCTGGATGTGTCACAGCACAGAAGCTGATAAACCCTGGAGGATATTCTGTGTCAGCTGAGGAGTTTGAAGGGTGAGTGTTGCTGTAGGTGGTGGATTTTTTGCACCAGAAGAGTAAGAACTGGGGGAGGTGTGGAAGGGAAAGTGCAAGGTGCTGGGCAGAGGCAGAAATTCTCAGAGAGATGGGAAAGAGCTGACAGGGGCC